ACAGGTAAAAGGCATGTGAAAGTACACCTTGCGTTATAGCACGGTTGTAAGTATGTGAAAAAAAGGACAATGGTCTCTCTCTCTAGACTATATCTATTTCAATACTTACGCTACATCGGAATTCCGAAAGGCGTTGCTGCGAGAAGGGACATTTGTGCTTTTTCATGTCTTCATTTCTGGAAAAGGACTTGGTGCACTTCTCGCTGCTGGAGCGTTCTCCCTGGTGTGGGGGATAGATTACCTTTTCTGGAACATTCTGTCCCGCATGTGTGCGCATTTCAAGGTGATGAAATAAACAACGTTTCTATACATCCCGCTAGAGATAAAATAGCTTCTATACATGGTTTTAAACACTTTTTGAATGGGAGATATACATATTTTCGTTTGTAACATATACTGCTTCACTAAAACAATAATTATTAATTGTTGCATATTTATCCATAACTGTCAATACAATCTAATAACATTTAAATAGTTGAACATATATGACAAAATATGACTTACGGGTTTGAAGAGTCATTGTTCAAGTCTTAGTTTAGATTCACTGCTAAATCCAAAAAGGGTGATGGGATGTCTCTGATAATAAATTCTCGATTGACAGAACTATTGCGCGCTAAGTGTTTTCAAAGGATGTTTGACAAGGGATTGACATTATATATTAAAATGCAAATAGAGCTAGACCTTGTAGAAAGCAACCGATGCGATGAGTTTTATGTTGTGGTGTGATGTATGTATGTATGAATGAATGAATGTATGTGTGTATGTGGAATTCCAACCTGCCATTAAACGAAACCATTTTTCCATCGCCTTGAATGGCTATATGTATACAGATGATATGTTCCGTCTAGCATAACTATACTTGTGATCAGTGAAGCTTAACTATCATTTTAGAACATAGGCTCTCATAACCCTTTTGGGTGGCATTTGTACCTTTACGTTTCAAAATACTCAATGCTGTATTATAAACTCTGTTGTGAAAATGGTGAGACTTTGATAAGCTATATTGTATTGTGTTGTGTTGTGTTGTAATGTATTATACTTGTACAGTTACACAGTATGGTACGTATTAACTATATACACGTTTTATATTCGTATTTAGTTCATATATACAGTCCGTTTGAGTCAGAAACGGACCGATGAATTGCAAATTTTATCATTGTACAAAATTGCAACATAAATATAAATAGTACACATGTTTATCATTTACTAATACCCAACAGCTTTCTTATATTTGAAAATTGTCCGGACTCCACCAAAAAAGTTGTTTAAGAAACTATCATCATTGAAAACGCAAAAGTTGTTATCTGTCGCGGCGGGGTGAAACCGCAGAAACGGAACAGCCAGTCATGGCGGGGGACATCTCAAAATCTATTCCGGGAGACCTGTCGGTTCTTCGTCTGTCGTAGTGTCATAGTCACGACTTAAAGGGATGACAAGTGGTGCCACAGTTGCCTGTTGTAAGCCATTCCGAGACCAGTAACCTTGTTCAATGACGTTAGCTACCTTGTTGACACAGTTTTGCCAAGTTTTAGTCGTGATTTTGTTAAGGGATTCCTTAACCAAAACCTCTACGTCACGTAATCTAAAAGTTGTGTTTGATCTGGCAACATCTCTTTTGACAATACCCCATATCATTTCAATAGGCTTAAGGTCACAGTGATAGGGTGGAAGTCGCAGAATATCGTGATCCTTACTTTTTATGTAACTGTCAACTTTGTAGGTGGGTTTTTATGATCTCATATAGCTGAGGCTTCGTTGCCTTTGAAGGCCGTGCGATCTGAAATTTGTCGAGCCATGATATCATATCACCTTTTCGACTGTTCGATGTCGGGGCTTTGCTGTCGGGGTCCTGCACGCTGCGGTATGGGGCATTGTCCATTACGATAAAAGAATTCTCTGGTAGAGCTGGTACCAACTTGTTTTAAACCCAATCGAGGAAAACCGCACCATTCATCTCGGAATGGTAGTCTCTGTTATCTGTGGACTTTGCCCTGAATACCAAGTCGCAGCCTGGGAGAAAGCCTTTGCTGGAACAACCAACATGGAGAATGATTAGTCTCTCTCCTTTCCCTAGAGGCAGCTTTCTACGTGACCCCTTATCACCCCCATCGGGTACCCACTGACTGCTGGCAGTGTGCGAGGGATTGACCCAGCTCTCATCCAAGTACACTGGCTCGAACCCTTCCTCGTGCTTCTTTATAACCCTGAGAAAATTATTTCTCAAGCGAACGATATCAGGGCGTTCACAGAGTACTCACCTATTCTCCCCAAAATGTTCTTATAACGATACCCGAAAGAGTGTAAGTGTGTACCTTGATACTCTGGGGTTGTGTTCTTGCTTCAAATGCTTTTTTAAAATTTTCAGCAACATGTATTTGTTTTCAGAATAGAGCTTGTTGATAGAGTGCCTTACAAGGTTCTTTTGAAAGTTGTCCAAATGTTTTAATTTGTGTGATTTTGACACGACCCCTACCTGCTTCGCATCACCCTTACAATGTTTGTGTTCCAGAACATTTGTCAGTACCTTTGCTGATACTCCTAAAGCTTTTGCTGCCCGCTTACGGAATTTATTAATGGCATAAAATGGTTTGCCCCTTTCGGCTTCAGCACGGAAAAAAATCGTACACTTTAATCATCAACTGTTTCACGTCAGCATTCAACTTCATTTTTCATCAGGCATGTGTATCCCGTGCACGACGAGATAGAGGCTGTTCCGTTTCTGCGGTTTCACCCCGCCGCGACAGATAACAACTTTTGCGTTTTCAATGATGATAGTTTCTTAAACAACTTTTTTGGTGGAGTCCGGACAATTTTCAAACATAAGAAAGCTGTTGGGTATTAGTAAATGATAAACATGTGTACTATTTATATTTATGTTGCAATTTTGTACAATGATAAAATTTGCAATTCATCGGTCCGTTTCTGACTCAAACGGACTGTAATTAGCAACTTATATTTTGCAGGACTCTTCAAAATTCGAACTGAAAGAAATGTTCTTATAGTATCTTCAACATTACGAATTTCGATTTAGTGTATATCAGTACCTTTAAACAGTTGACTGAAATAAGGGAAAATCCTCTGAAAAACTTATGAATGGTTAGATATGTATTCATATATAAGGGCTATTTCATTATGTATTGAAAAAGAGCCTCAGAGAAAAATTAATGGTAGTCTTTTCAGTCAAAATCAAGACTTGATTCTCAGGAGGTGAAAGGCTAAAACTCAAGCTGACAGTCACACTTTAGTATACCTATAAACGAATCCATTTATTTACTAAGTTGTAGGTTTTTAGGGTAAATGAAACTCTACCCGTGGTCTATTGACGGGAGGTTAACAGTGTACAGGCAGTGCTATGCGAGATGAATGAAAAAGGTTTGTATTCAGCCTGGCCAAACAGTAGTGAGCCATGCATAACCCTCTCCGCACAGCGAATGGGGTCACGTCATCAACTCGTAACTGGTGAGTGTGCGCTTTTTGAAACAGGTTTTTCAGCCTAGTCGATTTTTAAGACCTTCATTGACTATGCTTGTATGCTTTGTTTTCGTTTCATGAGGGCCTTCTTTCAAATAGGCATGAGCACATTCGATGAAATACTGTTCCTTTCCCCTTTCGGACCTGTGGTCCCTAGGATGGTGATCTACCTTCAGTTGTTGGCGATCTATAGCCTGTTTTAATTGTATTGTCCTAATTAGAAATCCAGTTGTAGAGATATATAGATACTAGTTTTATTTTTGTGTCTGTGATAGTCTAGTGGTTTCACTGTCCTTTCACGACAGATTTTATAATATATACATGTTGTTTATAAATGTCCAATTTATTCTCGTCACGATATGGCTGAAAAATTGCCGATGTGACGTTAAATCTTAACTCATTCACTCACTCTGACATGTGACGTGCTGCATTCATTACCATATTAATTAGTTCTCCTGCATATTCATTTCCCTCCGGGTACCTCCGGCAAAGGCAGGTCCTATACCAATTTTTGGAAAAGCGTACTTGCCATATCAAGTAGGGATACTCTCCAAGATGAGGAGAAAGATGACCCTTGAAAAATTAAGAGTTTCAGACCAGAATCAAACGATCCCAAAATTCCCAAAACACTGCACTTTGCACGGTAAACATCAACAGAAAGCAATGGTCAGTCCCGATCCCTCTAACCCAAACCAGCCCATACGTCCACACACCAACCTCTGTCACCAATGCACTGTAAACTTGACCAAGAGACATTACGCCGTGTACTGTGTTATCCGTAGAGCTTGAACAGAAGTGATCATGACTCTCTCAGACTGAGAGATTGATTAGGACCTCGCCACGCCTTCTAAACAAATGTATGACCAATCACGACTCCTTATAGTTGTCTGAAATGTTCGTGTTTAAGCCTCGTCTTTCTAGGGTGTCTTCATCCTTACAACACACCTCTGTCCTATTTATTATCCATTCATTACTCGGTATCTAATCGTATTTCTGTAATCGCCTCTTATTATAGAATTATAGGTGAGTGTATCTGAAGAGTCAGAGCCAGAGTCTGCTGAATCACCTGTTAATGCCTCAACGAACAAGAAACAATATTTTGGCAGTAACATTTATACAAACGGAATATCAACTTTAAAATATGTTTACCTTTATCTTCACACAATTCCTGTTCTGGTGGAGCAAGATAATCACACTTTTTCACGAACACCTTGTATCATCACAGTGTGATATTGATTCATAAACAGGCTTATAATATTGTCTGATATGAACACTGGACTCTTCTTTGAGCAAATACATGTATTTCTATTGGTTAAGGAAATGGTATCAGCACCTTCGCTACTGTAGTTAATTTTTCTTAGAATAAATAAAAACAAAACAACTTGCCAATGCGCATCGTTTTAATATATCTAGCGACATGATGTAAGTTTCAACGCATTCAGGAACGTTTTGGTTTGTTTCCAATTTGAAGTCTCTCGGAGTCTCAGATCAAGTATCCCACGACTGTCCTGTTTTTATAATACATCAACTGAATCGTTTTAAAACATTTTAACCTCGTGATGTTGTTAGTTGTAATGTGACTTGAATCCCAAAGATATCAACGAATCTCTTGTAGAATATCCAAAATTGAGATTGTTCCAAACCGTTAAAATTCTTCAAGGAGACTTCCTCTAGTACCAATATGGTATTATGGCCGCCACCCAAGGATAGTAGTAGGTGAAAAGCCTGAAGACACTTGGGTTGACACTGACGTCGCAGTCCTCACCCAGCCTACCCAGCCTAGACATGACTCCAGTGAGGTAGAACACGCCATTGTACCGACAAGACAGGGGACCGCCAGCATCGCCCTGAAAAACAACCAAAACTCGAAACTGATGTCGCCTCCGTACAAATCGATAGGATTTGAGAATGTGAAGATATTTACCCATTCAACAGACCTTTGAGACCCAAATTAGGAATGAACCCTGGGTTTTATTGTGATTCCAACATTCACGGCGTTTGTTCATTTTGACGATCAATAGTTTAAAAATAGTTTTCATAAAACAGTAGCTTACAAATTAAATCATTTAATCATTAAAGTGATTCATGTTTTGCCTCACCGGTTTCATTCATTGTCATATCAAGCATATTATCAATATCCCCCGCAATGGCAAAATACTCTTCATGAATATGTGTACTAGTTATGATTATGTCAAATGTTTGGGCGTGTATATAGCAAATTGGAAGGAGAGTATTGACAGGTTTTAAAGTTCTGCTGCAGAAAGAAGCACTACCACCAATTTCAGTCGAAGTCAAACATTTTGCCATGGAAACGCAAAGAAATTTTATTCATAAAATCTAAAACTAACAAAAGGCACCACTTCACCACCACTTGACGCTTGCGCGTCGCCGATATGACTAAATTTGCGGCTTTATAACCACAGGTATACGTCCCCAATTCGTCAAACACATCCCCTCAGTATACTGGCGAATATATACACGTGCTTATATTCTCATATAACCAAACATCCTTGTGTCGAAGTTGAAGGGGAGATCTTCGTAAATACTTCGAGAAATCAGAGGTTCGACAGGTCTGGTACGTTATGATGATGCGCGAACTTGTTTTTACTTCGAAGCAAGCGTATGTTCGAGACAAAGATATTTGACTATATCGAGGGACTGTGTGTATGACGTACCTCACACGGACCGTTCTCGCCATCTTGCAAACAGATCATGCTCTCATCCAGCTTTGTGTGCAACATCTCGCCGCAATCTCGATATCCAACGAGATCTGCATGGACCTGCCTCGTCGTCCCGTATGAAGCAGCTACGCAAGAACAAACAATACGTACACTGTCAACACTTCGTACAGTTCAAAAAGTTCTATCAATGCATGTTGAAATGTGACTTCCATTTGAACACTGGAGCGAGGTTAGGAATACGATGACAGTACCTTATACTTTAACATAGACTTAACATACAGGCGGGGAAGGGTTATGGCGCCGCAACAGGGATGCGTCCTTTCGGTAACCTATGATTGTAGGTTCGAATCCCGGTTCCTCCCGTTGTGTTTCTAGGTTTGTCAGCACCTTACCCGCGAGGATGTAATGAAGGGGTATTGGTGTATGACATGCATCACCTCTGGAATACCGCTGAAAGCGCTAGTTGACCCACTCACTCACTTAAGGTACAGGAGCGCATTGTCTATCGACGTCTGGCAGCAAGATGGGCTATCAGTTAAGGAGTGAGTGAGTGAGTGTAGATGTACGCCGCACTCATTAATATTCCAGCTTTATGGCGGAGATCGATAAATAATCGAGCTTGGACCAGACAATCTATAGTGATCAACATCCTCATGAGCATTGATCTACGCAATTGGGATACGATGCCATGTGTCAACCAAGTCAGCGAGCCTGACCACCCAATCTCATTGGTCGCCTCTTACGACAAAGGTTACTGAAGATCAATTGTAACCCGGATCTTCATGAGTCTATCGGCAAAGGAGAATATATGAGTACATGTCCCTTCTTATTCAAGAACCGACAGTTGAATGTCCAATGTCAATTCCGTGTGCATATTAATTGAATGCGAGCGCACTATCATGTATTTAGAACCAATTTTTATGCATAACAGCGATGCCACAGCTGAGTTTAACTAATGAGAAAACTTCGTGATACGGTTTAAGACATTTCACGTTTCACCTATTTTACACAAGCCTATTCAGTTCGTACACGTATTCACGGAACGTTGTTAATAATACAATAATCCTTCAATTTTAAGATTTTAAGACATTATCCTATAAAAGAAAATTAAAACCTATTCAACAAAACTTGTTTAGAAGCATATTAGATGAAAATGACATCGATTAGTCAACATTATTACCCATACGGTCTAGGATAAACAGGTGATTATTTTTGTGATATTCGTACATGTGCTTTTCAGTGATTCTCAACGTTGATTGGTCAGTTAAGCAAAGAAGAAATGTGATTGGTTGACGGAACTACTTTTCATGATCCAAGTTCATTGACAACCGTTTCGTTGATAATTACAACGTGCTGTACTCACACATTCCGAGATTTTAAAAAGAAAACATAAATGTTAAAAAATACGAATACTCTTTTTATTAGACATTATTTTGCAATAAATTGCTTTATAAATAGTAGTCTTTTTAAAATAAATAACCTTAAAAAAACAACAAAAAAAACATGGCCGCCATTAGGCTAACCCGAAAACGTCTCGTCCAGAACCTCTCTGACAATGGTGTACCAGCACATCAATCATGCAAATTTCCGGGCACAAAAATGTTCAATCAATAAACAGTTACTCTTCAATTAATGAGAAACATCATCAGTGCATCAATAAATTGTTGTCAAACCCTTGTAACTCCACCTCTCTGCCCTCTCATCCTTTGCCTCAGTCTGCCACCTTGACGTCACGGGTTTTGTCGCATGCCGTAAATCTTCATTCTGTACAAACACTATTCTCAGGTCCAATTAAGGGTGATGTATTCCACTTCAGCATCTCGAATGACTCCTCTGTCAGTCGACAATCTTCTCCAAAGAGGTGTATTCTTCACATTGACTCGTTGGTTGGTTGGTTTTATAGTTTTAGGGCGACGTGGGCCAATAAGAGGCCTATTTGCGCCCAACACATTGACTTGATTTAATAAACAATCATACGTCATTTCATTGCCAAAAGGATTCGTTTAGCTAAGATAAAAGAAAAGAAAAAAGAAAGAAACGACAACACTATTAATTTGGATAGATGTATACATATATGGAATAACCTCTGCTTCGTGTTACGGATTAAAAACCTCAAGTAATCACTTCCATTTCTGAAACATGAAATACTCATTCAATAAAAAAGCAGTAGGTTCAGATGACAGAGTGTTAAAATGATTTAAAACCACAGAACTAAATCTGTCTAAGCCATTCGAGAGCCTGTCTAGATTACATCATATTTTCCAGATGACGAGACAAAATCTAAAACTGCCCGTTGCACAGACCCATACATGATATTGGGGCCCAAAACTGTTTCTAATGAGAATACATCATCAACCTCAAGTACAGCACTTCTGAGATTTTGTCTTATGTTGTTATGCCCAGGGCATGTAATTAGATACTGTTCGATGTTTTCAGGCGTCTCCAAATTGCAATGGCTACATTTAGAAGAGACCGTCTTATCTATAATACTCCTGTAGGCATTTAACCCACAGTGTCCAAGTCTTAGACGTGAAAGAATAACCTCATCACGCCTTTTACGACGACGAATTGTATGACCAGATTTTAGTGATGATCTAAGTTTGTACATATGTCGGACGGGAGAACCTGTATCCCACAACTGTTGCCAACTCCTTGTAACAGATTTCGATAAAACATTTTCATAATCTTTAGGGATTGGTTGAAATTTAAATAAATCAACTTCAGGAAACTGTAACCCGGATTTGGCCAAATTATCTGCAATCTCATTCCCATGCATTCCAACATGTGCTGGGACCCACACAATGTCGCATGCAATGTACTTCATGTTTAAAGATGTATCTAACTTTAATATCTCATGCACAATGTCATCTCTAGATCCATTTGCACCAGCTTCTATAGCTTTGATTGCTGCCATAGAATCTGTAAAGATAATTGCTTCATGGTCATGTTCATCTACCCATCTCAATGCTTGCAAAATGGACAAAAGTTCAGCTGCAAAAACAGAAAGATAATCAGGGAATCTGAACACCTTAGCGATCGATAAATTGGGTATCCAAAAAGCCCCAGCAGTACGATTATTGGATGGTTCTTTCGATGCATCAGTGTATATATGTGTGAAATTAGAATAATTTTCAGACCGAAAGTCTTGAGATATCACCTTTATTATGTTTTGGTCCATTCTCTTATTCACGATTAAATTGAGTTCAGAATTCAATCCAGGCTTCAGGAGAACCCGCGGAGGTGTGACAGGCGGAGCAGAAAGATCAACTGGGTTACAGTTGTAAATACCATGTTGATCAGCTGATCTCTGAATATTCAAGCCAAAGGGTAATTTGCCATGAGTCCGGTCACACTTGACATATTCCACACAGTCATTAACAATCTCAGTGACTGCATGATGTTTGTTCTTGGTTTTCATTTTCAAGAAATATTTCAAAGATACCTGTTGTCTTCGAAGGTGAAGGGGCATTTCTGAAACTCAACTTGAAGAGCTGAGGTTGGAGTTGTACAATATGCACCAGCGCATATTCTCAAAGCTTTAGACTGAATTTTATCAAGCTTATTAAGATGACATTTAGCCGCCGACATATACACCTGACAACCATAGTCAAGTCTGGACAAGATAAGGGCCTTGTACAGCAATAACATAGTTGACTTATCAGCGCCCCACTTTGTTTTTGAAATACACTTTAATAGATTGATGATCTTGTTACATGTGTTATACAAATGTGTGATGTGATGAGACCATGTTAATCTTTGATCAAAATACACACCAAGAAATTTGAACACTGACACCATTTCCAGTTTATGGTGTCCAAGAGTTAAACTGATATCATGAGGGATCTTACGTCTTGTGATCATCATTGCCACTGATTTTGATTTTGAAATCTTAAACCCCCATTTTGAACACCATGTACTGGCTTTACTTAAGCAGTTTTGTATAGATTCTATGACAAACTGAAAATTACCAAAGCGTCTCCAAAACGATCCGTCATCAGCAAACTGTGCTGCATTTATGTTTAGAGGCAGGTCCTCGAAAATGTCATTGATCATAATATTAAATAAAACTGGACTTATTACACTTCCTTGTGGGGTACGATTTTCAGTCATATGCACGCCTGACAGTTCTTGACATATGCGAACTTGAATGGTTCTTTCGGACAAAAATGACCATATCCACTTGAACATGTTGCCTCTAATTCACATTGACTCGGATTCCGACTAGAGTTATCCTTCTTGGAACTGCTGCACTCTACTGCATCCAATGACGTGACTGTAACACGCCTTCCACAGAACAAAATGTTGTTTTATCTTCAAACTTGTTGAGTTTCTTGACAGAAAACTTTTTCTAGATGTATTCGTGGGCTGGTTGTCTTTTAGATTTTACTTTTAAACATTTAAACGTTGACTTCCCCAAAATTGACAGTTTTTTTCCCAAATGTGTTTCAACACTACACCGTCATCCGTCACTAGACACACGCCACTCGTGAATGAACGATGTTCCGGCGCACTGACTTGATCAAATGACGTCGTTTCAGCTGTAATTATGTTCAATGATATTGCATTTAAAAGATCATTTTTACCATATTAACAAATGTTAATATATTATTCCCAAAAAAGTATTTTTGTTGTATTTTAAAGCGATTTTACGAGGTACAATTTTCCATAGCGTAGTTATGTTATTACCGCTGGATAAGTTAGGTTTAATACGCGCAGGAATACGAATCTGCTGTTTGAGGTCACAAGTCCTGTCTCCGGGTGGTTTTATATTTCGTGGTTCTTCTTTTTAAATTACACTCGGTACGAGTGATTACGGGAAATATGCCCGAGTTCTCTAAGTAGTCGATCAACAACCATCTTGTAGATGCTTGAGACATTCGGTCTTTATTTAAGACCTATAGGTTTGTTAGTATCCTCCTTCAAGGTCCAATTACGCTCTTTAAAGACACGCCTTAGCACTATAACAATTGAATATGCTGGGACAACAATATGTTTTAGTGTATCCCGACAACTTAAGATTCAATTTTGAGCTCACGAGTGCAAGAAATGGTATTCATATGGATGACCAGCTGTTCTATCGTTTTATAAAGTGCAGTAGCGACAGGGCACAAAGACGAGTTTCGGGCACAGGGAGACAATGGCTGCCAGTGACAGAGGGTTAACGGTGTTTAATTTATAGTACGTCGTGTCACCATAAGGAGGAGAGTCCGGGGTGACACAGGTGCCAGATACTGACCACTTCATTGAAACCCTTATGCACGGGCATGCTGATGACAAACAAAGACACATAACCAGGGACACCTGGTGTTCAAATCCATGATCATATATGTCTCGTGTGCCCATGGAACTTAACACTACTCAGCGATTTACGACCCCTCAGGGGACTGGAAACCTATTTGGTAACACTGGCACAGCTCATACAGAAAACAATCACATGACGATGTGGGGAAAAACAGCAGCCCCTCCCCTTCCCAATCGCCACCATCCCCGTCAAAATAAGATCGAAACATATTCCCTGAAGCCCAACAACCACCCCAAATAAAAGTAAAATAACTAAAATATATAGGAAAAAAACAAACTCCAAATCCAATCGCCGCTAACACGACCTCCCAACCCAACCCCACCCCCACAACCTCCGCAAAAATAACAGAAAACAAATAAATATATAAATCAAGAAACACAAGATTAATAATAAATAATTATATAAACACAAAACAACAAACTGAAACAAAACCAAATAAAATCGAATGAACAAAAATCCAAAACCAACCAAAAATAGACACAAAAAACTCACACAAACCCTTACCCAAATATCTCGACCCCACCCACAATAAAACTAAACAAAACAAACTTCAAATGTATAGTTAAACAACCTACAAAAGATACATATACTGTAATAATTAGCGTTCGAAAGACCTACCTGTCCGACAGCCCGAGACGGGTTATTTTCAACATGGACTGCCAGATTCTCAAATTTACCTGCCCGACTGGCGAGTTCCTTTAAGGCAGGCTCCCCAGATAACCCCTTCCCATGAACCAACAGTCGCCGCTCCTCTCAATTGTATCCATGGTCGGTTGCAGCTCAGGAATACCAGCAAGACATATGGGCATGGTATCGGTAACCTCTCTGAGCTTGAGTATGGCCAAGTCGTTTTTGTACATGTCATACTGGTTTCTGATGTTGAAGTCCTTTTGGACGGTAAAACCTGGGTGCTGAAAAAAGGGATTTACGTTTCATACCTAACTGTTACGTTTTGTCTTGTTGACATATAAGCCTAACATATATTCCACACAAAGTGTCTTCAGTAAGCAAGGACATGTTTACCCTTCTTGCGAACACCTGCTGTCATCACTTAATTTCAAACCCTTCGTTTAATTTTCATTGTTATACTGGAACTCTCTATTATCGCGGCACGTGAAAACATCGTGAAAGCAGAAACACCACGCCCCGCATCAGCAAATGCAAATTACGTAAAATAAATTCATCGCTCTTGAAAAGGTCATTTATTTCATTGGAATGTCATGTCCAATCGTAGAAACATTAAGTATTCATCTTTTCAGTTAGTTCTGGTATGATCCCTACAGCCATTACAGCTACCACGAATCAAAACTTACTTCGTCAAGTGTAATCCTGCGACAGCTATAAGATCATTTGCATATATTCCGTCCTAAAAATATAACAGGAAGTGACGTTTTATGCAACTTCACCCTGCACAGGGCAGCAAATTGTATGGTACTTTTTAAGGCGGCAAAACAATATTTTGTTAAGTTATTGTTGTATCCAAATGAATAGAAGTTTCAGATGTTATGGTTAAAAAAGGGATGATATTACTATTATATTAATGCAATTCCTAAATAATTAATACTATAACTATTTAGATTCGTTATTTGTCTTAGTAAATCTTTCACAGTGTCATTTGCTTGTACCGCGTGCCATAGTATGAAAATAGCAATTCCGAGATAATAGAGAGCTGCTTCAATTTCCGAGTCAAACGAAACAATCGGGATTGCTGCGATCATATTGAATGAGTTGCGACTATGTGCCACATTGTTTGTGACAGAAATGAAGATTAAACATTAGTCAAATGAAAATGTATATAATATGCCAAATGTCAGTAGACGTTTATAATCCCGATGGCGACAACATTAACTACCGCGATAATAGAGGGTCCCATTAAGTCCAATGAAATCAGTGTCAACGAATATCGGGACTGGTTAATCTGAGGAGTTGATGATTTACATTTTCTCGAAAATTATAGAAATAATCAAATATGGAATGATGCTGCTTCGGTAAAGGGACATTATCCAGTCGTAACGACACCTTCAAATAGCAATTCATAAGTTGTATGTTGTGAACATCAAGTAAACCTATATCGAAGAAATTCAATGATTCTTATAAGCATGTCATTGTCGTTGGTAAGTAAACGGTATTCCAGGAAATCTGCGATCGTGGGTTCGAATCCAAGATTCGCTCTAATTATGTTTCTTTGATAGCATCATCTTCGCATGTTTCACTGAGGTGGTAAAATGTCTGAAACTTGCATGACTTTGGAACTTCGTCCCAGACTCAGCAATATAACTGATTAGGTAATAATGTTCAAATCCACCTCATAGAATAGTATGGGAAGGGTAAACAGATTATAAAACACATATCAACCAATACCAATTTCACTGGTAAACATAAAAAAGTAGGTCAGAGAAGTAATGCCGGAAACTCCGCGAGGAATGGGTTTCGTAAATTGTAATAGTTAGAATCGAACCGGGGACCTCGACGATACGAGCTGACGCTGTATCCTCCAAGCTATCCAACAGAGTATTGGGCAGAGATTGTGTTTGAAGAGTGAGCGAGTGACCCCACCGTCCCTGTGTTAAAAGAGATCACGCGGGATTGCCATACTTGTCACACTGATTATATAGTATAAGTATTGGCAGAGATTGTGTTTGAAGAGTGAGCGAGTGACCCCACCGTCCCTGTGTTAAAAGAGATCACACGCGATTGCCATACTTGTCACACTGATTATATAGTATAAGTATTGGCAGAGATTGTGTTTGAAGAGTGAGCGAGTGACCCCACCGTCCCTGTGTTAATAGAGATCACGCGGGATTGCCATACTTGTCACACTGATTATATAGTATAAGTATTGGCAGAGATTGTGTTTGAAGAGTGAGCGAGCGAGTAACCCCACCGTCCCTGTGTTAAAGAGATCACGCGGGATTGCCATACTTGTCACACTGATTATATAGTATAAGTATTGGCAGAGATTGTGTTTGAAGAGTGAGCGAGTGACCCCCACCGTCCCTGTGTTAATAGAGATCACGCGGGATTGCAGAGATGTGTTTTGTCACACTGATTCACGCGGGATTAGTATAAGTATTGGCAGAGATTGTGTTTGAAGAGTGAGCGAGTGACCCCACCGTCCCTGTGTTAAAGAGATCACACGGGATTGCCATACTTGTCACACTGATTATATAGTATAAGTATTGGCAGAGATTGTGTTTGAAGAGTGAGCGAGTGACCCCACCGTCCCTGTGTTAAAAGAGATCACGCGGGATTGCCATACTTGTCACACTGATTATATAGTAAGTAAATTGTGTTTATTGGCAGAGATTGTGTTTGAAGAGTGAGCGAGTCACCCCATTATATAGTATAAGTCCCTGTGTTAAAAGAGATCACGCGGGATTGCCATACTTGTCACACTGATTATATAGTATAAGTATTGGCAGAGATTGTGTTTGAAGAGTGAGCGAGTGACCCCACCGTCCCTGTGTTAAAGAGATCACGCGGGATTGCCATACTTGTCACACTGATTATATAGTATAAGTATTGGCAGAGATTGTGTTTGAAGAGTGAGCGAGTGACCCCACCGTCCCTGTGTTAAAAGAGATCACGCGGGATTGCCATACTTGTCACACTGATTATATAGTATAAGTATTGGCAGAGATTGTGTTTGAAGAGTGAGCGAGTGACCCCACCGTCCCTGTGTTAAAAGAGATCACGCGGGATTGCCATACTTGTCACACTGATTATATAGTATAAGTATTGGCAGAGATTGTGTTTGAAGAGTGAGCGAGTGACCCACCGTCCCTGTGTGTTAAAAGAGATCACGCGGGATTGCCATACTTGTCACACTGATTATATAGTATAAGTATTGGCAGAGATTGTGTTTGAAGAGTGAGCGAGTAACCCCACCGTCCCTGTGTTAAAAGAGATCACACGGGATTGCCATACTTGTCACACTGATTATATAGTATAAGTATTGGCAGAGATTGTGTTTGAAGAGTGAGCGAGTGACCCCACCGTCCCTGTGTTAATAGAGATCACGCGGGATTGCCATACTTGTCACACTGATTATATAGTATAGTATAAGTATTGGCAGAGATTGTGTTTGAAGAGTGAGCGAGTGACCCCACCGTCCCTGTGTTAAAAGAGATCACACGGGATTGCCATACTTGTCACACTGATTATATAGTATAAGTATTGGCAGAGATTGTGTTTGAAGAGTGAGCGAGTGACCCCACCGTCCCTGTGTTAAAGAGTTAACGCGGGATTGCCATACTTGTCACGTCACGGGATTGCCATACTAACAATGTCACACTGATTATATATGTATCGATTCTGGGTCACTTGCAAAGGATATATAATGTCCCCCCTACTCTGCTGTCAACATACACGTATACATTACAGGCGTGATTATAAACAATAACATATAGTAAAATGGCTTTTTGTCACTGTATTTTCTAGCCAACCACTTCATTGTCTGGTTTGTCTTCTGGCATGGACGTAGTACCTCCATTTTTCGTTCAATGCGGGCCAGTGGCGGGCACTGCCTAAAAGGCTGGATATGCTTATCCCTTTCGTGAACGTGTGGTGTCACGTCAGATTTGCAGCAACCCTTTCATTTTATTTTCACCATATTTTTCCTATTTTTCCTTTTAAGCAGAATGGAATCTAGCTTGGGCTATAACGAGACTGGCTTTTCTCATGCGTTTACGTTTTTTATATATTTGTGTTTTTTTAAATCCTCGGCCATCCTTGCAACCGCCTTATGTCGTTACTGTAGTGGTTGTTGGTGGCAAAAGATGGTTTTGAAGAAACGGAAATGAACAAGGACTGGCCAGCGTGACGTTTCCAGGGGAAAAATACATTCTATGTTCATGACATAAAAATAGCTTGTGCTGTCTTCCAACGTATACACAATAAGCATTCACATGTTCAATAAGTGCATTCATCAAAATTAAGTGTATTCTTTGTTACTCACCCGGAGACGCAGTGAGCAGCTGTAACAACAAACTGTGGATGAATCAGTGTTCCGCTACACTGCCAAACCATTTCAAACATTGACATCACACCCACCAGCCACGGCCACGCCCCCGGCTCGGCAACACTTCCGCCCACAATCCTCTTCCGGCGATGCATCGGGTTTGTCAGACCGCACCTCGCTAAAAACACCAAGAATTCTTAAATGACCTTCAATATTCAGTGTAATGTTTTGCAAAAATAAAACACGCGGGCAAAATAATTGTAAACAAACCATATCAATGCAACTTTGTTGTTTCATTTCTTTTATGATAGTCGTCTAAGATGTCTCTGTATATTGTAAATTTTCTACTTGTATATCACATTCATTCTCTCTGTAAATCACACATAATACCCCTGTATGTTACACTCATTCTCTATTTATATCATCCATATTCTCCCTGTATATCACACTCATTCTCACAGTACATCACACATATATTTTCCCCCTATTTCGCACCTAGTCCCTTTGTATAGCACACATGTTCTTCCTGAATATCAAACATATACTCTGTGTACATTACACTATTCTATATATCACACCAATACTCTCTGTAATCAGTATATCACACTTATGTTCTTTTAGAATCACCCTTATTTGCTTTAGATACCACAATTATTCTCTCTGTAATTATTCTCGCCGTAGTATTTTATATTTTTTCTCAGTATAGGAGTCCTGTGAATCAACCGTATTCTCTGTGGTTACCACCCAAAAAAAATCTGTATAGTGCACTTATAGTCTCTATATATCACAATCATTCTTTCCGAACATTGAACTATTTATCTGTATATTCCACTCTAAATGTATTAATGTATCACACTAACCTTCTCAGTATTAAGTATCTTCTTAAATCAGACTTAATTATCTGTACATGTCACAGTTATTCTCTCTGTATATTATACTCAT